GATCTGGGGTCAGGGGCAGAGAACTCCCGGAAATGACAGAGTGAACTCCTAAGATACGGAATTCACAATTTGATCCCTTCTCCCTGCTTCCACCCTGACTCTCAACCGCTGACCTTGCTTTCAATTTGACAGAGATTGGGAGCAATCAGAAAAGAATTTCCACCATTGCCATTGCCACAACCCACAGACTACCTATATCCACACCCATATATCCTGCCTCCTGTCCTGTGACTACAGAGGGCTCTCTGCTCTGGCGCGAGGCCAAGGCCTCTCCTGTTTCACGAGGCCCTGTTCCTGCTCACCTCCTTGAGGACATCCCTGCAGCTACTGCCCCTACATGTCAGTTTGCACCTTCTAAAGGACCATTCACATTAGCTTACAAACGTGCTATATTTCCACCTTTCTTTTTTAAAAATTCTTTATAAACATCCCAATCCAGTTTCCACCCCATTTCTCTACTCCCTTTTATAGCAAAGTTCCTCAGAAGGGTCATCTAGCAGTGTCTCCAATTCCCCCATTCGCTCTTCAAGCCATGGCCCAAGGCCTTCATGCCTACCCCAGCCCCAAAATGACTTCAGGTTCACTGTGGTTTCCCTGCAGTAACTAAACCCAGTCAGCGGGGCTCACTCCTAACCATTCTTATTTTATCAGCCCTATTTGGTGCAGTTGATAAGTCGCTCCTCCTTGAAGAATTCTTTTATTGTTGCTTCTAGGAAAACATGCTATCATTAGGAATTCAAATGTGAACGTATAATCCATGCCATTACATCTGTTGAGAAGACTTGGACAATACAGTCAAGAGCCTCTGACTTCCAGACTGTCACGTAAATCCATGTGTGGCAGTTTTCCAGACTATTTCATGTCATGATGCATGGAGAAAATGCAAATATTCTCCCAGTCCTCAGGGAAAACCAGGCAAGACTGACCCCAGTAGAAGGCTCCAGGCACAGTGCATGCACTGAGTATCTCCAGCTTATGCCCTCATGTAAAGCAACCCCACCTCTGTTTTCCTGTCCTACAGTAAAAATAAAATCATTTAATGTCAGTGACAAACTTCTCTGTCACATAAATGCTGTGTAAAGTTTCAACTTAATTCTTTTTTTTTAAGATTTTATTTATTTACTATTAGAGAGGGGAAAGGGAGGGAGAAAGAGAGGGAGAGAAACATCAGTGTGTGGTTGCCTCCCATGTGCCCCCTACTGGGGACCTGGCTTACAACCCAGGCATGTGCCCTGACTGGGAATCCAACCGGCAACCCTTTGGTTTGCAGGCTGGCACTTAATCCACTGAGCCACACCAGGCAAGGCTCAACTTAATTCTTATATCTTCTTTTTCTTAGAACTGTAAAAGATTAACATCTTCAGATCAAGAACTGTATATCTCTTTCATATGCTCTTATAGCATATAGCACAGTAGTGAACGTATGACATGTTTGAAAAACATGTCGCATTGGCCCTGGCTGGACATTGGCCCAGTAGCTCAGCTGTAAAGGTTGTGGGTTCAATCCCTGGTCAGGGCACATACAGGAATCAACCAATGGCCCTGGCTGGTGTGGCTCAGTGGGTTGGGCACTGTCCGGCGTGCGAACAGAAAGGTCAGTGTACATGCCTGAATCCCCGGTTGCCTCTCATCTGAGCAAAGTTTCTCTCTCACACTGATGTGTCTCTCCCTCTCCTTCTCCCTCTCTTCCCCTAAAATAAATAAATAAAATCTTTTTTAAAAAAAGGAATCAACCAATGAATGCATAAGTGGATGGAATAACAAAAAAAAATCAATGTTTCTCTCCCTTCCTCTCTCTAAAATCAATTTAAAATTTTTAATTTAATAAAATAAAATAAATGTCACATTAAGAACCTCCAGATATTATTGCTTCAGCAGCATTGAGAATTTATTTCTTAATCACAACATATCTTTGGACAGCATTTCTACTCCATCAATCAAAAAAGTTAGCTAGACCTTACTTTAAAACAGAAACCAGAAAAGGCTAGTCCAGAAACTCCCTTCTTCACACATTCTCTTATCTGTCGGCGACCAGATAAGAGATCAGAAGGGTCCTCCCCGCTCACATAACTACTTGTATTGGCTTGGCCAAAAAGTCCTTTTGGTTTTTTTCATAAAATAAAAGATTTTCACTTTTCATTTTCACCAATAACTTTATTGATTTGGATATTTTGAGTGTGTATGTCAGCTATCTCCCTCTCTTGGATTCTCATGGGTAGAGGCCAGGGGTGCTGCTAAATATCTTCCAATGCATAATAAGACAGCCCCACAGCAAAGAATTATTTGGCCAAAATGTCGACAGCACCAAAATACTCCTCAAACCACTTCTGACACATTTGATCAGTCACAGCACTTTCTCCATATGCTGCACAAATCTTTTTTTGCATCTCAATGCTTTTTTACCTTTTTTGAAATAAGAAAAGCACAATACACCAAAAATGTTGCATATCTTCTTCCATCTTCAATATTAAAATGGCTGCACAAAAATTTACCAATTTGATATTTTTTATGCATGCTGATATGACAGCTGTTGCAATATGATCTAATGAAATTTTTTTGAGTGAAGTTAAAGACAACTAAGCACTACTAGAGCCATCATACAAAAAAGTTAAATGAACTTTTTGGCCAACCCAATATTCCATTTGCCTTTGCAAACCCTCCCTTCTACAGCAAAAAGAAAAGAAAATAGAGTTACCCTCCATAAACACAATCTTTTTTTTTTCCAAAAACCTTTTAATGACTCAAAAAGTTTATTGTGGCCCTGGCTGGCATAGCTCAGTGGGTTGAGTGTGGGCTGCGAACCAGGCATCGCAGGTTCGATTCCCAGTCAGGACACATGCCTAGGTTCCAGGCCACGGCCCTCAGCAACCGCACATTGATGTTTCTCTCTCTCTCTCTCCTTCCCTTCCCGCTCTAAAAATAAATAAATAAATTTTTTAAAAAAAGTTTATTGTGGAGAACTGTCAAGCTTGAAATTCAGTTTTCACACTCAACTGTCACTCACAATCCTTCAGCAATGGAACCTACCTCATGTCCCAAATGTCTTTGTCTGTGGAAAATCTGTTCATTTGCAGCAGCTCAGGGATCAGGAAAAATTATGCTCTCAAAAATAAGGCAGGGAAAAAATGCACAGAATAGAGGGATGCTAAGCTGGACAGAAAATATGTAATAATTTTAAGGAGGAGAAATAAAATGTGCTCAAATGTCCTTGGATGACAGAGAGGGATCCAAATGTTACTGCACATTTTAGCTGAAAAAATGCTAGTTTCAGCAGCAACTTTTATAAACTTTAGTTCCTCTTCTCTAGGAAGTTCAGAAATTATCCTCAGCCTTGTTATTTTAAGTATGGCTCATGGTTCTGCAGCATAAAGCATACCTGGGAAGTACTGAGAAATGTGGAATCGAAAGCCACCCTTTCTGCAGTTTAACAAGATCCTCCATGTAATTCATTACCAAGCTACATTTTGTGAAGCGCTGATAATTCCGTTGTGAGGTGCTCCCAGGTGATGCCAGTACTGCCCATCTATCATCTGCAGCTTGGCCAGCCTGGTTGCATGTGAGAATCACCTGAAGAATTTCAAAATGATGTGATGTGCATGTCTCCCCCACACTGATTCTGAGTTAACAGGTGTGGGGTGGGGCCAGACGTCAGCGGTTTTCTGAAGCTCCGATGATTCTAATGAGCCACCTGCGATATGATCCACTTACCTAAACTAACTCTTCATTTTCTAATCGTTAAAACTACAAACTGACATTGGAGTAGGACTCACTGGTTTCCCTACATTATCTCATTTGGGGATTCTCAAAACGACTCCGTAAGGTACATGGGGCAGATATTGTTGTACCATCTAACAGATGAGAAAACTGGGGACTCAAATTGGCTGACAGCTGCTTTCACCATGCTAACTTTCAGAGCAACTAAATAAATGCTATTTCCCTTGCTGAGAATGGAGGAAAGTTGAGGTTTAAAATTAATACAGTGGCTGGTGTTCTCCATTGTGAGTCTAGGAAAAGCCTTACAGCATCTTAAAGGATAAATCATCAACTCCAATCTCTTAATTTTACATGAGAACACCGAGGCCCGGAGATCTATCTCAAATCACAAAATTTTAGCCAAAATGAGAACTCAGATCTCCATACTGCCAGTTCATATGTTTCCTACTAGTGCGTTTCCCAAGTGTGATCCATGGATTCCACAGGGCACCAGCAGATGTTCCTCCGGAAAGGGTTAGACCTGCTAGGCCACCTCTGGGTTAAACCGAAGTAAATGGTGTCCCTGACTGCAGGACCTCTCAGCCCTTGCCGGGCTAAGGTGTCTTCTGTGCCTCCGAGAACTGAATATCTAATATATAGCATCTTCTCAACTTATTTGACCATGGGACCATTTATTTTTCAAGCATCTTGAAGTCACCCTATTCTAATGAGCAGACTTTGAGGAAGACTGTGTTAGCTTTGATGCTTTTCAAGGTTATTCCGCTTCACTGGTTGGGAACAATTTGCTCTGGCCCTAGAGGTAGAACACCAGCTACACAGACTAAAGGGGAAAAGATCATTGGCACCATGAAGTATCTCAAACAGCCAGCTGAAGGTAGCGAAAGTGTTGCCTCATCATTTTATCCCACTTTGTCCCGTTCCCAGAACAGGAAGTCATCTTGGTGCCCTTCTTGCCAGCTTGCTTGCTACTTTGTAATGCCTACCCCCCTGTGTCAGGCACTTAGTGAAACACTTAATGTGGATTAACTCATCTAATCCTTAAAGCATGCTTATGAGGTAGGACTCTTATAATCTGCACTTTAAAAGTTTAAACGTCTGAAATTGAGAGAGGTTAAGTAATATGCCGAAAGTCATAGTTCAAAACCACGTTTTGAACCTGAAGCTGTGCAATGCCAGATTCAGTTGTGTAATTACAAGATGATGTCACCGTTATAAATGAGCTGCTTTTCCATTTATCCAAGAGTTTATTCTGTTTATCAGCAAGAGAGAGGCAGAAGGAGGAAAAAATGCTTAAAGAACTGGTTCATGCAATTGTCGGGGCTAGCAGGTCTGGACTGTGCAGCTCAGGCCAGGGGGCTAGGAATTTCCACGGGAGGGAGCGGCATAGTCCTGAGTCTAGAGGCAGAATTCCAGCCTCCTCCTGCCCTGCCCCAGCCTCCAGACCAGAAACACTGCACTCTCACCCCATCCTCCCCACCTGGACTGAAACTCAGGAGGCCACCAAGGCGCCAGCTTACCACTCTTCTCTCATGGACCCCGACACCAGACTCATTGGAAACATGGCACTGTTGCCTATGAGAAGTCAGTTCGAGGGACCCGCCCCTGGAGGGGCAAGAGATACAGATATTGTAGATGAACCCATCTATTACTTCAAAGCCAATGTCTTCTCCAAAAACTATGAAATTAAGAATGAAGCTGATAGCACCTTGATATACATTACTCTCCACATTTCTGAGTGTCTAAAGAAATGCCACAAGTGCAATTCCAAAAGCCAAGGTGAGAAAGAAATGTGTACACTGGTAATCACTAATTTTGCCATTCCTGGAGAGCCTAGTTTTCCACTTAATACAATTTATGTCAAACCTGCAAACCAACAGGAAGACATGTGAGGAAGGCCTATTTACAGCAGCTATGGCAAGAGACTGGACTGAGACTTTGTGAGGAAGTTTTTGACCCTCAGAATGATAAACCTAGCAAGTGTTGGACTTGCTTTGCAAAGACACAATTTATGAACAAGAGTCTTTCAGGCCCTCGACAGTAAAGGGAGCCTAGGCAGCATTTTTTAGCAAGATGTACACTGTTCTTTGCCTTTATCTCATAAAGTTTTATACAGAAGAGAGAAGAGAACATATCTTTACTGGAAAAGTTCATTACCAAGAATTTGGGCCCTGGCTGGTTAGCTCAGTTGGTTAGAGGGTGTCCTGCAATGCCATGGTTGTAGGTTTGAACCCCAGTCAGGACACATAAAAAGAATCAACCAATGAATGCATCAAGTGGAACAACAAATCGATATTGCCATCTCTCTCTCTCTAAAATTAGGAAGGAAGGAAGGAAGGAAGGAAGGAAGGAAGGAAGGAAGGAAGGAAGGAAGGAAGGAAGGAAGGAAGGAAGGAAGGAAGGGAAAGAGGGAGAGAGGGAGGGAGGGATTGGTAGGGTGCTAAGAATGAGTCATCAAAAGGTAATTTGAGATTTTATGCAGTATTAAGCTACTGCTTAATAAATAATAATAAAAATGTCTAATTTTTTGTTGAAGTTCCTTCCTCTTTGGGGGACCTCAGTATTTTCCCTTATGGTCTTGAACAAATTGGATGAGGCTGACCCACAATACGAAGGCTAACCTGCTTTACTTGAAGTCTACTGATTTAAATGTTATTCACATCTAAAAAATACCTTCACAGCAACATCTAGATGGCTGTTCAGCCAGTCACCTGGATACCATAGCCCAAGCAAGTTGACACATAAAATTAACCATCACATTATGTAAAATACAAATCATAGAAATGTAGGTATCTTAGATTTCATAGTCCAATTTCCTTACCTTTGCAAATAAAGAATCAGGTCATAGAGGATAAGCACCCAATTCATATATATGCATTCACAGGAGGACGTGCATACCTGAATTCCTGAATCTTTCATAAATCACTCCCTAAATTTAAGTGGGAAATTAAATCCTTTCAAAACACTGATTATTTCTGTTTTGAAGACTTGATCAGAAAAACTCAACAGGCAGTCAGTGCATTTTATTATGTCTCCCAGACCAGTGCCCCCAACACCCTGGATGTTGGGACCACCTTCAGAGCGGTTGGGGAGTCTGGAAATAGCTGGCACAGTTCTCCCAGAAAGGAGACTTTTCTCTCACGTCCACTCTTGTCCCTCCTGCATCCCACTGGTCTCACTCTCACTTCATAGGTTTCATGGTATTGGATGCCTCCTTTTGCCTCTGGGCTTACAGACAAGCTCTTCCCTTCTGGGGCTGAATCACTCTTCCCCAACTCCACCCTACCCCTTTTGCCTAGCTAAAGCCCATTTGTGTTTCAAATCTTGGCTTAGATCTTTTTTCCTCAGGGTGTGCTTCCCCCACCCTCACTCAACTGAGTTAGATGCCCCTCACAAGTGCCCCTTTGGCTTGCAGTACCAACCCCCAGATATTTACCTATATACCCACTAGGGTCTTGGTCCACAGTATCCTCAGCATGACAGTCTATTACATAGCAGAGAGTCAATAAATATTGATGGATGGATGGATGGAAGGAAGGAAGGAAGGAAGGAAGGAAGGAAAGAAGGAAGGAAGGAAGGAAGGAAGGAGGGAGGGAGGGAGGGGGGAGGGAGGGGAGTGGGAAGGGAGGGAGGGAGGGAGGGAGGAGGGAAGGAAGAGGAAAATAAAAAAATTCTGTAGGCCCTTTCTTGCACAGTACAGCTTAGATCTGACAACTCAAAGACAGTCTATGTTGGCATTTGCCCAGATAATTGTAGGGCATAAAGTAACTTCAGTCTTTTCAGGCTCTGGTGAGGCTGTATCTGGTGACTTGGCATTCTTGGGACTGACTTTGCCAGCTTTTGGACTTTGATAACACCAAGGAGTTATTGCTGTAAGGTAACAGGAGACTGGACCAGTGTGGAAACAGCAGGAATGGAGAGAGGCCCGTGAGAGAGAGGTGTCACAGGTAAACTGGACTGCGTCGGTCAGCATGTGAAAGACAAGGTTACACGAAGAGGAAGGTGGTAGAGAATCTGGTTTCTATTACATGACAATATCTTCAATTCCATATTGAATTTGAAATTTAAAAAAACTAAAAATACAGTTTAATATATTGCAACATAAAACAAAGAAAATTCCTAGCTCCTCACAAATTTGTCATCTTTATATCAATTACTGTTATCAAAGAAGTGTCCAGACTGGCCAGCAGGCAGAGCAGGCGTTGCCACATGACACGTTCAGAGGGTCATCAAAGAGTCTTCCCTCTTCGCTATCATCATGTCACAGTGCCTGGCATTTTGTAATGGTATTTTCATATATCATCAAATACATATTATGTGTACATCTTATCTGTCTGAAAGAAAAGATAAGAAATGAACACTGGTTACCTCTGAGAAAGGGGGAGTAGGAGCTTGGAGGTCTGAGGTGGGAGGGAGACCTGTCTTTTACCATTTTACATGTTGTACCCATCAAAGCTTTTATCAGGTACATACATTTTTAAACTAGAAAAGAAAATTTTCTTTTTATTTTTAAAAGTTGGAATTTGGGCCCTGACTGGTGTGGCTCAGTAGATTGAGCGCTAGCCTGCAAAGCAAAGGGTTGCTGGTTCGATTCCCAGTCAGGGCACATGCCTGGGTTGCGGGCCAGGTCCCCAATGGGGAGCATGTGAGAGGCAACCACACATTAATGTTTCTCTCCCTTTCTCTCCCCATTCCCCTCTAAAAATAAATAAATTAAAAATCTTTTTTAAAAAGTTGGAATTTGGAGTTGGAAAGTTGAAAAGTTTGTCAATGGGTAAATAAATAAATTATAGAATGAATATTATTATTTATTTATGAATAAATTATAGAATTATTGAATACATAAATTACAGTATACCCTTTAAGTGAAATAATGGGCAGTCATTAAAGTGCAAAAATAAAAAAAATTGATCGAAAAGATGTACTGATACAAAAGAAGCCCATGATAACTTGTTAAGTAAAAAACAAAAATTCAAAGTAAAAACATTAAAAATTCACCCATTTAAAAATAGGTGTATTTAAATGTTGGTGAGTGTATGCATTGGGAAAAGTTGTAAAACACACAAAATTATTAGCATTGGTTACCTCTGCAAGACTGAACTAGAGGAGACTTTTGTCTTCTGTTATACATTTTGACAGTGCTTTGACTTTTACAAGGAGCACATTACTTTATAATCAGATTTTTAAAAAAAGATAGTTGGGTGGTGAACACACAATACAATATACAGATGATGTGTTATAGGGTTTCATGTACACATGAAACCTATATACTTTTATTAACCAACATTACCCCAATAAATTCAATAAAACCTTTTTAAAATTATGTGAATATAAAAAATAAATAAAGTATAGCATAAGGAAAATAGTCAGTAATATTATAATAACTATACATGGTGTTAAATGGGCCCTAGATTTATCAGGGTGATCATTTTATAAGTCTTAGAAATGTCTAATCACTCACTATGTAGTACACCTGAAACTAATATGATATTATATGTCAACTATAATTGAAAATTTTAAATTATTTTTAAAAGAAAAGAAATTTAAAATAAAAAAAGAAAGATATTTTAAAAATTTCTATAACATTGCACATAGCCCAAGGGAGGGTTATCGTCAGCAGCTGAAGCAAATTTCAAACCCTCTAAATGAGAGGTGTCAAACTGGTCTTCACCAGGGCCCTCATCAGTCTCGCGGCTGCCTTCAAAGGGCAGAATGTAATTTTAGGACTGTATACATGTAACTACTCCTTAACTGTTAAGGACTTGAAATTACATTTGGCCCTTTGAAGGTAACCAACCTGGAGGCTGGTGTGCCCCACCGCAGATGAGTCTGACATCCTTGCTCTAAATGAAAACCAGGTACCACTGGGAGTTTGTGCATTAAGTCAGGGTGAAGTTTTGTAATTCAGTCTTGGCTCACAACAGTGCCTCAATAATGCTTAATAATTGAATTCATAATTAAACTCAATAATGTTAATAATTGGACTATACAGTTGATACAGCTTGTCTTTTTCTCCAGTGCTTGACAATGTGCTTATCACCAGGAGCTTAAAAAGTGTCTGCCCTTAAGGCCATTGCAGTCTAAAGTAACTATGTCACTTGTTTTCCCCTCATTACTACCTATTCCCAATAATCCAATTCTCTTTCCTTTCCTTTGCTCATCTTCCCAGACCTTTTTAAAGTTGCTTTTGAGAACCACAAGAGGGCAGCAGCCTCACGTACAAGAAAGGCACTCAGGCATTATTAATCATAAAAATCAAAGGGATGATGATGCCCTTATAAAAATATTATCTAATGGCAATGGGGGGGGGGAACACATTAAAAAAGTATTTTTAATGTAATAAAAACTTTGGAGATTCCATTATCTTGCCCCAAATATGTGCGGGACAACATTTAATGTTTTCTTAGAAATTATAAACAATAAGAGAAAAAGAAATTCACGCTGGTGCATGAAGATAATGTATTTCCTTCCTTCTCTTCCAGATGCTGTCGCAGAAGAGGTGCTAGATAGAAAAGAGAACAGTGTGGAACCCGACTTACTCCTAATGCAAATTCTTGCCCCAGAATGGAAGGAGAATCTCCCCACAATGCAACTACTGTCAACAGCACCCCGGTGAATCACCAGGCTTTGGAACACCATGGGCTGTGGGAAGTCATCAGCATCGCAGCTGTGACTGCTGTGGTCAGCCTGATGACCATCGTGGGCAATGTCTTAGTCATGATCTCCTTCAAAGTCAATAGTCAGCTGAAGACGGTCAACAACTATTACCTGCTGAGCTTGGCCTGTGCAGATCTCATCATTGGGATCTTCTCCATGAACCTCTATACCACCTACATCCTCATGGGACGCTGGGCTCTCGGGAGTTTGGCCTGTGACCTTTGGCTTGCGCTGGACTACGTGGCCAGCAACGCTTCCGTCATGAACCTTCTGGTGATCAGTTTTGACCGTTACTTTTCTATCACAAGACCCCTGACATATCGGGCCAAGCGAACCCCCAAGAGGGCTGGCATCATGATTGGCTTGGCCTGGCTCATCTCCTTCATCCTCTGGGCCCCGGCGATCCTCTGCTGGCAGTACTTGGTCGGGGAGAGAACGGTCCCACCTGATGAGTGCCAGATCCAGTTCCTCTCGGAGCCCACCATCACGTTTGGCACTGCCATTGCTGCCTTCTACATTCCTGTTTCTGTCATGACAATTCTCTACTGCCGAATCTACCGGGAAACTGAGAAGCGGACCAAGGACCTTGCTGACCTGCAGGGCTCAGACTCTGTCGCTGAAACCGAGAAGCGAAAGCCTGCTCACAAGACTTTGCTCAGGTCCTGCTTCAGCTGCCCTCGGCCCACACTGGCCCAGAGGGAAAGGAACCGAGCTTCCTGGTCGTCCTCCCGCAGGAGCCCCTCAGCCACTGGACAGGCAGCCCAAGCCCCCGGCCCAAGCCCGGAGTGGGACAAAGCAGAGCAGCTCACCACGTGTAGCAGCTGCCCCTCCTCAGAGGACGAGGATAAGCCCACCACTGACCCTGTCTTCCAGGTGGTCTACAAGAGTCAGGCCAAGAAACATGCAAGGGAAGAGTTCAGTACTGAAGAGACTGAGGAAACTTTCGTGAAAGATCAAACTGAGAAAAATGACTATGACACCCCAAGATATTTCCTGTCTCCAGCGGCTGCTCATAGACCCAAGAGCCAGAAATGTGTGGCCTATAAGTTCCGACTGGTGGTCAAAGCCGATGGGACCCAGGAGACCAACAATGGCTGTCGCAAGGTGAAAATCATGCCATGCTCCTCCCCGGTGTCCAAGGACCCTTCAAGGAAAGGCCTGGATCCCAACCTCAGCCATCAAATGACCAAACGGAAGAGAATGGTCCTTGTCAAAGAGAGGAAAGCAGCCCAGACCCTGAGTGCCATTCTCCTGGCCTTCATCATCACATGGACCCCTTACAACATCATGGTCCTGGTGTCCACCTTCTGTGACAAGTGTGTCCCAGTCACCCTGTGGCACTTGGGCTACTGGTTGTGCTACGTCAATAGCACTGTCAACCCCATTTGCTATGCCCTCTGCAACAGAACCTTCAGGAAGACCTTTAAGATGCTGCTTCTCTGCCGATGGAAAAAGAAAAAAGTGGAAGAGAAGCTGTACTGGCAAGGGAACAGTAAGCTGCCCTGAAGAGTTAACAACTGCCCTCAAAAGAATGACCACCATCCACTTCCTCTGAAGATGGCCAAGCTGATTCTGGTTTATTTTTCAAACAGACATCTGTCATTTTTAAAAAAGATTTTATTTATTTACTTTAAGAGAGAGGGGAAGGGGGAGAAACAGGGAGGAGAGAGACATTGACTGGTTGCCTCTTACGTGCCCCCAACGGGGGACTTGTCCCACAACCCAGGATGTGCCCTGACTGGGAGTCAAACAGGTGACCTTTCAGTTCCCAGGCTGGTGCTCAATCCACTGAGCCACACCAGCGGGGGTAACATCTGTCATTTTGAGTTCTTGACGATTCTGTAAAGACTTGAGGTTTATCACCAAAAGAAAGGAGTCACTCCTGCCACCATATTGAATTATTCATGTCTGTGACTAAGGTCACCTGATGCCACTGCAGTTTGCCATTGAAGTAACTAGACAGACTCATGGCCCTTCACAGGAGGAGAGGCACACTGGAGCACAATGAACAATGACTGAGGGAATTTTCGTCTGACTTCCTGTGGGAACAGCAGGGACCAGTTGGAAACCTCTCCCTGTGGAAACCTGTCATAGACTTTTGTGCAATATGTATGTGTCCTCTGACGCTGTTTTGTGCCAGTGAGAACCAGGAGAATGTAAGTCAGTGTTGCCTATTAACAAGGATGTTATTCAACTGGCTTCTAAGACTTTCTTTATAAACGGGTCAGTATTTATTTACAAAGTATTTATTATGCAGCTTTTATGTGTTCTGTGCTGTGGTATGTGTTTCCATCCCTACACCTGAGTGAAGCTCTTGCTCATCCCTTACACAACCGATGCCAATCCTGGTCCCCGCTGAACCCGTGCTGGTCCCCACGCTTCCTTTCAGAATTCTGGGTCTGATCACACCCAGTCCTAGAGAGGGCCCTCTATCTGCTAATAAAGATGATCAAGTCTCCACAGTCAGTGTTTTAGGTTTTACCAGTGGGAATTTTTCCCTTTTTTTCCTAAACAAAAATTGTGCATTCTATTTTGTGTCTATTTAAACCCATTTATTCATGCTCTATTCTTAGGAAAGCTAGTGTAACACAACTGTTCACTGAGGAAAGATATTCTCCAGGCTATTTTGTCAGGGTTCTCTTAAATTGTTTTCAGAGGTCTTACTTTCTAATCCCTTTGCAAGGCAAACCTGAAGCAAAATGTGGAAAACAAATTTGTTTTCACTCCCAAATTTGTTCAGACTAGTTCACACTCAGGCACAAGCAGGTCACAAGCATTTATCACTCATGAGCCTCCAGACAAAAGTGGAGGGACAGCAGGGGAGAGGTTTTATTATTTATTTAATAGATCCTTGAATCATGGTCCACAAATGACTTATTCATTCCTCTCCAAATTCATGGTCAAACATGAAAAATCCTACAAAGTGCAGTTGAGCTCCAGTGAAGCTGGCTGTGGTTATTAAGAATGAAAGCCTCACCTTTAAAAACGAACTGTGGATCACAAGAATGTATGAAAATAAAGCAGTTGTATCAACATATACATTACAGTATCGGGATTACTAAAAACCAAATTATCTAATTTAATTGAAATCTGTGCAAACAATCTGAATTTGATAATTCTGAAAATAAACCTATGTGCAAGAAATTGAAACTACAAAATAGTGCATACAATTAAAGATCCACAAGGAAAGCAGCAGCATAGTTAGTACTCAGGAAGAATTTAAAGATGAAACACTCCTGCCAGATAGAAGCTCCTTATTTAACCTGTTGATTATATCTGCATTATGTTTTAAAATCTCGACTTCATTTTACTTAATATAGCCCAGTTCTTTCTCAGCCTCATTTGCTAAGGAGATGTAAAAATAGATGGTTTAGTTGTCCTAGGAATCTTCACATTCTTGAGTATAGGGGAGTTTCACCCTACCACTGAAGAGCAAATTAGCCACTTACACAAAGTCCCAAGAATGCTCAGGGCAGTAGGAAACCCAGGCCACTCCCCCAGCCCTATAGAGACTCAATGCTGAGATGTAACATCTTGGGAGCAATGCAGCTGCTGAGCATTTGTGAAGAACAGGTTGACACCTGCCAAGAATTTGGTAGAGAATATTAGTTAATTGGCTCAGTCCTCCAGGACAGAGGTTCCCAGGCCTATGTGATGCCAACAGGGTGTGACTCCATGAGCAAGCCTACTCTACCAGCTTTAGATAAATAGCTGGGTTTTTTTAGTTTAAGGGTTTGGTTCCTGAGAAAAATGAAAATCCCTCCAAGAGAATAATAGCACTTTGAATACTCACTGGGCACTCACTGTGCACATAGAGCAGAGAAATAAACGAACTCAAACAAAGGAACGCAGAACTTGAGGCAGGGTGGCGGGGGGCAGTGTCGGAAGCACAATTTCCACACTCTTCACACTCCAGAGTTGCCTAGGACTTGGTCATCATACGTGAAACTAATGAGAGGTCTATGCTTCCTCATCAGCTTTTAGGGACAGCCAGTTTTGCAGATTCCTATGCTCTTTGACTTAAATTAAAAAAAAAAAAAAGTCCAAACTGCTAGGCGAGACTAGCACAGGGCCTTTGGTGGGGTCCTCAGAATGAAGAGACCCAAATGCAAACTGCAGAGACCTGGCTGGTAGGGGGGATGGGCTAACTGCAGATCTTAGACCGATGCCCCCAGTGTCCCGAGCTCTGTCCATGGTAAACTATGTACAGTTTCGTTGGACTAGTTCCTAATGAATGCTGTTACGTTGCTAATGTGTTTCTCCTCGTCTGTGAATCTGGTGGCTTGCTGGGGAATCGTTTTTCAGTACAATTTTTGGTTAAAGCATTTTGTCAGTATTCCTGGCCTCTGCTTTGCTCCCTTGGTGAATGTCCTTTGAGGGAGATGCTGATGTTAGGCTCTTTGTAATTGTGAAATCTGTACCTAGTGTCTGGATTAGAATATCCAGTTGTCTACAATAAATACCAGAATTGTAGCAAAGGATGTGGGCTGCTTTTCTGTATCGTACAAGCATCATTCTGGAAATTAAACAAATTTAACCACACAATAGTCTAATGGAAAGCATTTAAATTAGAAAATGGTCTCCAGTTAGCTTGATAGATCCATTTATTTTACAGATTCCGCACACATTTGCAGTGGCCTAGCCTTTTAAGTAGGGAGGGATTGATACACACTGGAGACAGACATCCCTCTTGCTACCTTTGTGATTTCCCCACTTCCCTCTCAGTTACCAATGACCAAGTTAAGATTAAATAATGATGACAAGATTCCTGTGACCAAAATGATTCCCTTTCCCTCCAGAACAAGGGAGCTGGGGCAGACCTCAAACCACAGCCCTTTAGCTGGTTACAGACCCTGCAACAAAACAGCAGCAGCATTTTCTCTTCAACTGCTCAAAAGGCTAGAGCCCTAGTCATTCCATTGTGATTCAAATTTCCATCTCCCCCATGCCATTTCAGCAGCACAGTGTGAGATAACACAAACTCTTACCCATTAAGAACCTCAGATTGTGAGTGGGAGGGGGAAGGGAAACAAAATTTTTTTAAGTATCAAGGAAGGAATCAGAAGGAAATTAAAAAACAAAACTTTCTTTTTCAAAATAATTTTAAACTTAGAGAAACACTGCAATAATAGTACAAAAGAAACTCTGGTATCCTTCGCCCACATTTCCCAATTGTTAACATTTTGCCACATTTCAATGCTGTGTGTGTTTGCACACATGTTTTTCTACAACCATTTGAAGTTGCAGACATCATGTCCACCGCCTTCTAAATACTTCAGTGGGTATTTCTTAAGAACAAGGAGAGTGCCCTAGCCAGTGTAGCTCAGTTTGTTGGGCATCAAATCACAAATCAAAAGGTCATGGGTTTGATTCCGGTCATGGCACATGCCCGGGGTTACAGATTCAGTCCCAGTGGGGGCATGTATGGAAGGTAGCTCATTAGTGTTTCTCACATCGATGTTTCTCTCCCTCTCTCTCTAAAATTAAAACAAAACAATTTTAAAAAGAACAATGAGATTATTTTACATAACCACAATACAAATATAAAAATCAGGAAATTTAACATTGCTACAATATTATGTAATACATAGTTACATAGTTATGTACTCCAGTCCATACTCAAATTTTACCTGTTGTCCAAATGTTGTATACGAATTTCTTTTCCAGTGCAGGATTTAATCCAGAATCACACCTACATGTAGTTGTAATGTTTCTTTAGACAACTTTAATCTGGAAGAGGTCTTCAGCTATCCTTTTGTTTTTCATGACATGGTAATGTTAAGAGTGCATTCAATCCAATTTTTACAAATAACATCCATCATTCATGGGTTTGTCTGATTTTTTTCTCATTAGAGTCCGTTTAATTTGTTTGATCTGGGCAGGATATCATACATGTGGTATTGTGTCCTCAATGTATCACATCAGGAAGACGCGATGTTTATCCCATTTTTGGTGATGTTAAAATTGATAACTTGGTTTAAGTGTTTCCACTCACACCCAGATTTCCCCACTAAAAATTTACTATTTTCCCCCTGCAATGAGTAATTTGGAGAAAGAGACTTTGAGCCTATATAAATTTCCTGTGGGTTATCAGGTTTTCACTTGATAATTAAAGCATATATTCATTATTCTCACCCACCTAAGTCATTACTGTGCTGATTGCCAATTGGTTGACATTCTACAGTAGGAATGCTTTTTCCTTCTTTCTGACTTATTTATGTACGTATCATTAGGGACTCATTAACTCTTATTTCAGTAATTGGTTAAAATCCATTACTGTCATTATTTCAATGCTCAAATTGTCACGATTTTTTTAAAGATTTTATTTATTTATTTTTAGAGAGGGAAAGTGGGGAGAGAGAGAGAGAGAAAGAGAGAGACAGAGAGAGAGAGGGAGAGAGAAACATCAATACATCAATGTGCGCTTGCTGGGGGCCATGGCCTACAACCTAGGCATGTGCCCTGACTGGGAATCGAACCTGTGATGTGTGGTTCGCAGCCCGCGC